TATTAATATAAAAATACACTTAGTATGACATTATATATATATATATATATATATATATATTATATAAATATAATATATGTCTATATCATATATACATATATAATTATTTATTTATTTTTTATTAACATTAACTTTATTTTTTATTTTTATTTTACACATGCAGGGAGACTGCCTGTCAGCACAGGCAGTCCCCCTGCAGGCAGCACTATGGACACCTATTGTGACCATGTGATCGCTGTGTTAAGCGATCACATGGCCACAGGGGTCCTAATCTGCCGTGGGGAGACTGTCTGGGCTACAGGCAGTCTCCCCACAACCGGAGCCACGCTGATCGCCGCCGGGGGAACGACGGCGATCAGGTAAGTAGCTCTGACCGTTAGGACGGTTCAGGACCGTCATCGGTCGGCAACGCAAAAATGCCGATGACGGTCCTGAACCGTCCTCGGTCCTTAAGGGGTTAATAGACATGCCCCTACTAGCTGGGTCACATGCTGCACTGGCCAATCACAGCCATGACATTAGTAGGCATGGCTGTAATGGCTTCTAAGGGCACACGAGTCAAACGCTTGTTGATTGGCTGCACTGCAGCCTTTCAAAACGTGTTATTAATTTGCCGAACACCGAACTCCAACCCGAACATACAGTGATTTGTCCGTGTTTGTTTCCGGGGTCCAAAAAACGTAATGTTCGGTATGAACCCGAACTTTTCAGTTCGGGTTCGCTCAACTCTAGAAATGTACTTTTGAGGAGTTTATGTGGTTTAATGTGTGTACAGGTATGTGCTGTTGGTATCTCCCAGAGCGGGAGAAGGCTATCTGTAACCCAGCCCCCTACTCCTTGGGATTGTGTTGAACTGAGTGGAGATCTCCTGCAGGGGTCTGGGCATAAAGGCTGGGTGTTCAAAATAAAGATTGAGAATCAGCCTGGCAGAGTCCAGTGCTTAAACCTCCAGAACTGTGTCATCCTTTTACTGGAGGGAGGGAAGATTTAACCCCATTGCCTGGCTGTCTCTCCACACCGGGAGCAATGGTGACCGCGTGAGTAAACATTTCTGCTACGACGGTTCAGGACCTCAAGAGTATTTTTCCGATGACGGTCCTGAACTGTTACCGGTCGTGAAGGGGTTAATATCTACAATTAACACAAAAAATACAATTTAAAAAACAGGTCTTAACATAACTGCGTCATTTTTTGAGAAATATATAAAACTATATAAATATGAAATAAGTGATTTCTCTTACAGATTCCTTTTTTTCTTCAGTCTCCATAACGAATAAGCACATAAACAAATGTATTACATGTTCAGTCTCTTCAATGGCTGCCGTGTTCTGCTTTACAAGGATTTCCATACAGTCAAATAACATGCTTTTGTAAAATTAATATCCGTGTTTCCTCAAAGCTCTCACATATGCAGCATATCCCCTCAGCAGCATTAGATCACCTCACCACAAGTGTCCATGCAGCATAAGATCAGCACAGCTCATTTCATTCATTTTGATTTCCCTCTTTGCTGCTTCCTGTAGTTCTCTGTACCATGTGACTGGTCACATGGTCTGTGATGTCACCAGGATCATTCTACTGGATAGGAACTAGCCGCTACCGATTTCTGACAGAACACCGGTGTTCTATCAAATTTCCCTACCCCGTTAGAAAACCCTACCCTCGTCACTACCGCGCAGGCGCACACAACCTAGATAGGGATTTTTCACAGCGAAGAGAGAACCTAAAGGCATAGTGCGCATGTGCGGCACAGTACCGTCGGAGGTACAGCGCGCGTGCGCACTTGGGGACATGGAGCGCTTCACACACCGCGCATGCGCAGTATAGGGGTAGGGAAATTTGATGGCCATTAAGCCCTGTGAAATCTCCCTACCCCTATACTGCGCACGCGTGGACTCTGATCGTCTGAGTAAAGCCTTTTCTGGGAACACGTCAGTCTCTCCCTGCTCCCAACACTCTCAGCCATCCGAGGGGAGGGGGTACTATATTAGGGGGGTTTCAGTGCATTATATTGGGGAGTGGGGGGTTTTAGTACATTATTATATTGGGGGTCTGCGCTGTATAGGGGGGGTCTGCATTGTATATGGGGTGTCTGCGCTGTATGGGGGTCTGCGCTGCATATGGGGGTTCTGCGCAGTATGGGGGGCGTCTGCACAGTATATGGGGGGTCTGCGCTGTATAGGGGGGTCTGCGCAGTATATTGGGTGTCTGTGAAGTATATTGGGGTGGCCTGTGTGTTAAATGTGGGGGGCAGTGTGTTAGATGGAGGGACTGTTTGTTCCATGTGGGGGGGCAGTGTATTATATTTGGGGGCTGTGTGTTAGATGGTGAGCTGTACAGTACGTGTGGCCTGTGTGTTAGATGTGTACAACCCTAGTTTCACAGAAAAATATTTATTTCCTAGATATCATATGCCATGGCATGCTTTTTGCTATGAAACCACAGTCACTCGCCAGAGAAGGATGAGAAACTGCACCCCAGCGAGAGGGACAGCCCCACATCTGCAACCAAATCCGTCGGTCACCGAATTCAGTAATCTCCGTCTCTTTGTGCATTGTGTATGTATGGTACTCCCAATTCTTATATTTATTCCGGTGTGTCTCCCACAATCTTTGTGTCTGTCTGCTGTATGTATGTGGCACGCAAGTCTGCATGCACTGTGTCTGTTATGCCAGTTACTCTAACCAGTTGTTTTTTTGTGTGTCACAGCTCTGACAAGCATTCTCCTATGGGACACAAACTACATGAAGTGGAATGAAGAAGCCCATGTTTGATGCTCGTCTCCAGGGTGGAGTATTGAATTTATAACTAATGAAGTGGCATCTGGCACATGACAAGCTGCTCCTGTTTGCACAGCAACTTCAACATTGTGTACTGTGATCACGGCATAGTTCAGAGGTAGGTAACCTTGGGCAGTCCAGATGCTGTGAATTACATCTCCCATAATGCTGGCAAACCATCATGGGAGGTGTAGTGCAAAATATCTGGAATACCGAATGCGTATGAATGAAAAGTATGGTGTGTGTGAATGGTCAGTAACAAGGGTTGAAGCCTTGACGTGGCGTTACTGCTCACATGTGTATTCATGTGCCAATTCAACCAATGTGAGTCACTGTAATACTTATAAGGTAACCAAAAGTACTGTGATTGTGGATAATGAAACGCCTGTATCCCCTACACACTGCTTACACTGTGACTGTATCTCCTAAACACTGCTGACACTGTGACTGTATCTCCTAAACTCTGCTCACACTGTGACCGTATCTCCTAAACACTGCTGACACTGTGAGCGTATCTCCTATACACTGCTGACACTGTGAGCGTATCTCCTATACACTGCTGACACTGTGAGCGTATCTCCTAAACACTGCTCACACTGTGACCCTATCGCCTATACACTGCTTACACTGTGACCCAATCTCCTAAACACTGCTTACACTGTGAATGTTATTTTTTTCAAGTTAGTTTTAGTGTTTGCGGTTTCATTGATTTGTTAACCACTCTCCTCAATCTTCTGTTCTGTGTTTTCTTACATTTGTGGGAAGAACAAGGTGATCCTCTCAATTTTACACTCCTTTACTGATGGTTCCAGTGCCAGAGACAAACCCACCACCATTAACCTCGACCTGCTCAAACAGAAGAGATTACCTTCTTCTATAGAAAACGTCCATATGGCTGTTTCGGAACACATGCTGCAGACATGATGTAACCTTAATTTTCCAGTGATTAAGAATCGTGGACCGTCCAGGGAAAGAGACCATTATATTATTAAGATACTACCTTCCTAATGCCATCCAGCCTTTCTTTACATGTGATTGAACTTTCTCCTTCTTGGATACCACAGTGTGACTTTTCTTAACCAGTTTCCAAATTTGACTTTTATATTTTTTACACTATACATATAAAGTATTTTGATGACACCTTAACATGCGATTTGTGTTATTTAGCTACAAATAATACCATCACTAGCTGCGTTCCATTGTAGTTTCTCAGAAACTGCAATATTTAACATTGCAGGATTAAGGGGACATTGGCACTGCACCCAAACCATTTAAACGAGATGACGTGGGCTTTTAAAGAGCAACTTCTTACTATGCTTATTGCTATCTTTTGAAAGTCATCACATTTATAAGCAAAACTATGCATAGGCACAGTGACACGAAGACCTATATGCACCATAAATTATCATATGTTGTTACAAAGCCATATTTCCTAACAGTCCTGGATTGTTTAGTAGAGTCCCAGTTTGGGTTTGCTCTCCACTGTCCCACAATAATTAACAACTTAACATTATTTCAGACAAATTACTGTACATTTAAAAAGTAAGAGTTTTAATTTTTTTTAAAGTGGCAATATAAAAAAGTCAAACAATATTTAATTTCTAATTTAACTAAATTGAAAAAGTATGTTGTCCATTAATTACATAATAATTGCACATGTGGCCTAATATCAGATATATCAGATATTGTTATTGTCACCCCCCTCTTACTCTGTCATCCCCCTGTCACCCCCCTCACCCTGTCACCCCTCCCTTACTGTCACCTCACCTCATCACCCCTTGTCACCCCCCTCTTACGGTCACCTCACCATCACCCCCTCACTCTGTCATCCTCCTCACACTATGTCACCCACCCTTACTCTGTCACCCATACTCTCACATTACGTCACCCCCCTCTTACTCTGTCATTCATCCCTCACCTCATCACCCTCCCTCTCACACTATGTCACCTTCCCCACACGGCCACCACTCTCCGCACTCTGGCACCTTCCTCCATGCACACCGTCAACCCTCAACACGCAGGCACCCTCCTGCTCTTTTACACTCACCCTGCCACAGTTACCCCTTTACTCACCGTCAACCCCCCAAAGGGGGCGCCTGAGTATTGTCCTGCCTAGGGCAGCACAAAACCAGGACACACCACTGAGCTCCACCATCGCTATATCTACAGCTTCTTATACACAAAGTCAACTGCTATTTTTTCTTCAATAATGGTGTTCTCCGTGGGGTCTCATGTATGAGTTTCGCCTAAGGCCTCGCCAAGTCTAGAGCTGACACTGCAGTACAGCCCTTCAGTATCCAATAGTCTCTTATGCAGGGACTCCTCAAAGCGGTTTGCTCCTTCCCTCTGGAACTGTAAAAATAAAAAATATAGTTACAACTCGCCAAATCGTAACCAGAAAGCATAATACTTATTTTATATTATTAGAAATGACAATTTCAATGTTGAAGATTGGAGGCGTAGAATAGAAAGAATGATCGAGCGCTTTCAATTTTAAATAAAAAACATGTCTGTGCTTACAGTGTAAGCAGTGTTTAGGTGATAGGGTCAGAGTGTAAGCAGTGTATAGGCGACAGGGTCACAGTGTGAGCAGAGTTTAGGAGATATGGTCACAGTGTCAGCAGTGTATAGGAGATACGCTCACAGTGTCAGCAGTGTTTAGGAGATACGGTCACAGTGTGAGCAGAGTTTAGGAGATACGGTCACAGTGTCAGCAGTGTTTAGGAGATACGGTCACAGTGTAAGCAGTGTTTAGGAGATACGGTCACAGTGTCAGCAGTGTTTAGGAGATACGGTCACAGTGTCAGCAGTGTTTAGGAGATACGGTCACAGTGTAAGCAGTGTGTAGGAGATACGGTCACAGTGTAAACAGTGTGTAGGTGATACAGGCGTTTCATTATCCACAATCACAGTACTTTTGGTTACCTTATAAGTATTACAGTGACTCACATTGGTTGAATTGGCACATGAATACACATGTGAGCAGTAACGCCACGTCAAGGCTTCAACCCTTGTTACTGACCATTCACACACACCATACTTTTCATTCATACGCATTCGATATTCCAGATGTTTTGGACTACACCTTCCATAATGCTTTTCCAGCATTATGGGAGATGTAATTCACAGCATCTGGACTGACAAAGGTTACCTACCTCTGAACTAGGCCGTGATCACAGTACACAATGTTGAAGTCGCTGTGCAAACAGGAGCAGCTTGTCACGTGCCAGAAGACACTTCATTAGTTATAAATTCAATACTCCATCCTGGAGACGAGCATCAAACATGGGCTTCTTCATTCCACTTCATGTAGTTTGTGTCCCATAGGAGAATGCTTGTCAGAGCTGTGACACACAAAAAAACAACTGGTTAGAGTAACTGGCATAACAAACACAGTGCATGCAGACTTGCGTGCCACATACATACAGCAGACAGACACAAAGATTGTGGGAGACACACCGGAATAAATATAAGAATTGGGAGTACCATACATACACAATGCACAAAGAGACGGAGATTACTGAATTCGGTGACCGACGGATTTGGTTGCAGATGTGGGGCTGTCCCTCTCGCTGGGGTGCAGTTTCTCATCCTTCTCTGGCGAGTGACTAGATGGCTGCGGTTTCATAGCAAAAAGCATGCCATGGCATATGATATCTAGGAAATAAATATTTTTCTATGAAACTAGGGTTGTACACATCTAACACACAGGCCACACGTACTGTACAGCTCACCATCTAACGCCCCCAAATATAATACACTGCCCCCCCACATGTAAGAAACAGCCCCTCCATCTAACACACAGGCCACCCCAATATACTTCACAGACCCCACAATATACTGCGCAGACCCCCCATATACAGCACAGACCCCCCACATACTGCGCAGATCCCCCTATACAGCGCAGAACCACCCCTATACAGTGTGCAGACCCCCCCTATACAGCAGACCTCACAACATAATCGCGAGGATCCAATCCATACAGCGATATCCCCAATATACCTGAGACCCCCACAATATACTGCGCAGACCCCCCATATACAGCGCAGACCCCCCATAAACTGCGCAGATCCACCTATACACTGCGCAGATCCACCTATACAGCACAGACCCCCCATATACTGTGCAGACCCCCCCCTATATACTCTGCAGACAACCCCTATATACTGTGCAGACCCCCCATATACTGTGCAGACACCCCCATACCGTGCAGACTCTCATATACCGTACAGACCCCCAATATACTGTGCAGCAGACCCCCCATATACTGCAGTAAGAGACACCCCCCATATACTGTGCAGACCCCCTATATACTGCAGACCCCCCATATACTCTGCAGACCCCCCGCCCCCCATATACTGTGCAGACCCCCCCATATACTGTGCAGACACCCCCCCCCCAATATACTGTAATCTCCCCTCGGGTGGCTGAGGGTGTTGGGAGCAGGGGGAGACTGACCTGTTTGAATCCAAGGATGGGAGTCCGCGCATGCGCAGTATAGGGGTAAGGAAATCTGATGGCCATTTGGGTCTGTCCTGTGAAATTTCCCTACCCCACATTGCGCACGCGCGATCGATTGTGTCCGCGCATGCGCAGTATAGGGGTAGGGAGATTTAACAGGAGAAATGGCCATCAGATTTCCATACCCCAGTACTGCGCACGCGCGCTGTACCTCCGACGGGAGTACTAGACGCGCGTGCGCAGTGCGGCGTTAATGTCCCCTGCTCGCTGTTCATTCCCTGCCTGGAGGTTGTGCGCATGCGCGATGCGGCACACCTCCTCCTCTATTGGTTGGACGTTTCTTCCGGTGCGGCCGCGTCACCGGAAGTGACGAGGGTATGTCTTTTTCACAGGGTATGTCTTTCTGATAGAACACCTGCGCGGCGGTGCACACCCCCCGTCCCAACGTCACTCCCGGTGCAGCTTCGTCACCGGAAGTGACGAGGGTAGGGTTTTCTAACGGGGTAGGGAAATTTGATATAACAGGCCAATCTTAGACCTGCACAATGAGAGTGGCATTCTCACTACTGGTGTTTTCCTATTTACTTATTCACGCTATTGGTCTAATACTTTTTCTCCGCGGCTTCTTTCCTGTATCTGTGAAGTCTCAGTCCAGGAAAAACACCGTTTCCGAGATCCCAGCTGAGCCATCTGCAGGTAACTTGACAAATCTTCCTTCTACAATTACTACACAGAGCATAATATCCGGGTCTCGATAGACTGGGAAATAATGTCAACCAGAAACACACCTGCTGCTGGCTATTGTACTGTTTTCATTAATGAATCTTTATCGATAGGCATCTTCCTTCAGTCCCACCCAAAAATAAATTATTATATATATCTGTGCAGCTTGGAAAATGTTCAGACATTTCTCGATCTCCTTATAAATATAACTGGAAACGGGTATAATTATAGTGTCATGGGGCTGCCACTAGAAAGCTTGGGGCATCTAAATCATGTCCCCACGTTTTGGTTGTTAGACCCCACCATGAGCTTCTGCATACGTATCAGTAATACACATTCAGGTACATCACATATTCTGCACAGTAGTATATAGAAGTAACATGTGCAAGATTCCTCAATATATAAAGGAAGTTTCTACTAAGACGCCTTCAGCTCTGCAGTAATAGTAGTGAAGGCAGGGAGCAGCACCTGGCGCACAAGTCAAACTGTTCAAATACTTACAAGGTAAGGGCACTCTAGGGCACTCTTACACTAGGTACACTAGGGCACTCTTGGCACCATAGCCACTGAGAACTGTAGTGGTTATGGTGTTTTTAGTAATCCTATAAAAGGGCACTATAGACAGACCACTTTATCTTATTGAAGTGGACTGGGTGCAATGCCCCTGTGTGTTATATATGTGTGTATATATATTAGTAGGATAGCCCTCCCAGGTCTTTATTTTAAATAAAATATAACTTTTATTTGCTAAAAAAAAAAATTTTTTTTTGTTGGCCATAACTTTATTTATTATATCACATCTGCACTGCTATGAACACTATAATGCTTTGTTTTTTTTATATTCATTTTTTTTTTTTTACTTTGACAATTTTTATTAAGAATTTTCAGGGGAGTGGGGGGTACAGAAGGAAAGGGGAGGAGAAATACCATATAGACAATGCAATACACCATTACAGTGAAATATTCCGCAGCATGTGGCTCTTAACACTGTGCTAGTATAACAGAACAGTACATTGTAACATCACATTTTTATGTTTTCGTTTGTTGTGTGTCATGGTGGATTGTGCAAAGTAGTGTCCTGCACTTGATATCAGAGTCTGTGTTGTACTTAGAAAGTAGGGGAAGGAGTAGGAGTGACATAAGAAAATTGCAAGGTTATGGGGGTAAAGAAGGGGGTGGAGGCTTGGTCGGTTACACTTCCCAGTGTCTGCACGGGGCGAAGGGAGGTATGGTTTGCCAGTTAGATGGCTGCAATATACTCTTCCAGTTCGCCCGTTATCAGCTTATTGGCGTCTTTCAGCAATATGGGTGGTGCTGGTTGTGCAGTGCTACATTATGGTGCAGTATCACGCTTAGTGTTTCAATCAATGTTAGAGTTACAATTTCATTTCCCATTTTTAGGGACACAGCTGTTGGTTTGTAGGCATCCGCCCATGTAAGCTCACTTGGGGGTTGGTTTGGAGTGCTTCAGATATGTATTGCAGCCCTCCCATGCCTCTATCCAGTTTGTCTTTTGGAGGGGTGTGTGCCTGGCTGCCAGCTCGTATAGTTGGAGAAGGAATATTTCTGGTTTGCGAGGTAAGCGTATGTGTGCGCTTAGGTATATGATTGTTGTCACCTCGTCCCAGAAAGCAGTGAGGGTGGGGCATGTCCACCAAATGTGGAGCATTGTGTATTTGTCTTGTTGGTATCTCCAGCATATATCTGAGGCTTGTGGGTGTGCTGCTTTGATGCGCGTGAGAACTAAATACCACCCGTGTATAAGTTTACGGGATAGCTCCATATGGGAGGCGCATTTTGAAAGTGGGCTATGTGCCAACATTATTTCTTTCCATTGTGGTGGACTCAGGGTATATGCGAACTCTTTCTCCAAGGCAGTAATGAAGGAGAATGGGGTATGGTCGTCTTGAATTTGTAATGTTTGATAGACTGTTGTCCCTGTACATCACCCGTCTCAGTGAGTGTGAGTTGAACATAAGAGAAGAGAACCATTGAGTTAAGGTGAAAGGAGGTTTTTAAATCTTCAAATTTCCTAAGCTCCCTGCCTTGGAGCATCGGATGGAGGTGTGTGATGATATAGTGGTGCCACATGGTGTAATTGAAGTCGGGAATTATGTAATGTAGTGCTTTCATTGGAGTGGCAGGCGACTTTCTACCCTTCCAACCCATTTTGAGACCGTATTTGTCCCACATGTGCAGAGTAAGCACCGTGGTTGGAATGGTAGAACGTCGCCTGTCACTCCAATGAAAGCACTACATTACATCATTCCCAACTTCAATTTCATCATGTGGCACCGCTATGGCATTACACACCTCCATCAGATGTAGGTCTGTGCTGGCGTGGGAGCCATGCTAGGATGGAGATGGGAATATTATTGGCGTGGTGTGCCTCTAGCTCCGACCACTGGAGCGGTCGGTCCCTGTGGCTTGCCACCAGTAGCGGGCTGAGGAAAGCTGCTTGGTAGTAGCTATGTAAATCTGGCACCCCCATCCCACCCCGTGCGCGCGGTAGATATAGTATTCGCTTTGCTACTCTGGGTTTACTGCTATCCCAAATGAACGACAATATTGTGCGTTGTGCTTCTTCGTGAAAGTTAAATGGGGCGTGTTCTAAAGAGATATTGCAATTTCGTTAAGATTATCATTTTTACTGCGGCTATCCTACCGGACCATGAGATGTATTTACCCCTCCATCCCGTTAGTATGTGTTTTATTTTGCGTAACGTATTTTGGAAGTTTGCCTTGTATAGCTTTGTCCGTGAGGGGGTGATGTTAATTCCCTAGGAATTTGAGATGGTAATTTCACCGATCATAGTTGAAGGATTTATGTAGTTGGTCTAGTTGTGCTGTGGGGATGTTTATGCCTAAAGCCTGTGTTTTAGCGACATTGAGCTTATAGTGGGAGCATTTAGTATAGAGGGAGAGGGTGTCATGGAAATTAGAACAACCACATATCTCTCTACCTAAGGTGAGGAGTATGTCGTCCGCAAACAGCGTGGTTTTGTGTTGTGTTGTTGCCATGTCTTGCTATGCCATGAAGGTTAGGGTTGTCCCTTATGAGTTCTGTAAGTGGTTCCAATGACAGGATATATAATAGGGGCGACAGAGGGCAGCCCTGTCGCGTGCCATTAGTGATGGTGAATTGT